TTGCCCAAAAACGTGGTTTTCATTTTGTGACAAGAAAACAGAGAGTAGTCTTCTCAGTTATTAGGAAGTGCCAAAACCATTAAAGCGACATGAAAATTGAGGTGAAAGAGAAGCTGTGCTGAGTCGAAAAAAACAACAAAAACTCGGCTGGAGAGTGCAGTTGATGACCGGTTAAACTGAAGTAAGCGAGATCAGATGCGGACACTAATTTGTCATGAAGCCGCCATTCTGGTCCCTGGCTGGTGTGCATCAGCTGGTTCTAATATCTGTTATTTATTTCATAATAAGCTGAGGCGATTTAGATTGATGAAGTATAAAAGCATTCACAACCAAGAGTGATCGTTTTCAGCGCGGTTCCTGTTGATCGGTAACCAAACTCTGTCGATGAATTCTGTAAAGATTCCTCCATCGTTAACAATGGTTGTTCATTATACAATATTATTCACTTCGAGTTTTCCGGAACTGATGATTTTTTTTACGCTGTGTCCACTTCCCTACCTCCTTTTGCATTGCACATTCTTCTAGATGTATTCATACCAATTTATCTGCATATCCCGAAATGTTGTGATGAAGCGGGCAATCAATTATTATGCGTTCTTGCATACATGCAAATGCGAAAACGCATATTGTGACGACCCCGGTATATGTGTGTATGTGTATTTGTGTGTGTGTGTGTGTGTGTGTGTGTATCCGGGTGTTTCAACTCGGCACCCACGCAAGTTCCGGCGCCAAAATTTTGCCGGTGGGTTCACCAGGAAGTGCCGCCCCCGGACCACGGTGCCAACCTTCACGCAAATCTGGGCCTCGTGTATGAGAGGGTCAAAGTTTGGCGTTAAAGTCGGTAACTCAAGAACCAGAAAAGCTAGAAAGCTAAAACTTTGAGGTTATGTTCCCCGTCCACATGGAACTCAAAGATTTCAAATTCAGCCCCCAGATATGCATGGTACCCACATATGGCCCCTTGAAGGTTCCTGGCACGAAAATCACTAACTTGGGAACCAGGAAAGTTGGGAGGCTGAAATTTTCAGGGAATGTTCCTAGCGCATGTACAACTTAAAGTCATTGAACTCAAGCCCCAGACATGCGTGGTTCTCACGTACGGCCCTGTGAAATTTTTTGGCGGAAAAGTGGCGTGGTTAACTCGGGAGCCAGGGAAGCTAGGAGGGTGAAATTTTCAGGGAATGCTCCTGCCTCATGTACTACAAAAATTTATCAGATTCAGTTTTGGCGGAAAAGTGGCTAACTCGGGAAATAGGAAAACTGGGAGCTAAAATTTTAAGGTGTGTTCTCACCCCCTGTAAAAGTTGGAGATATCAAATTCAGCTTTCAAATACGTTTAGTTCTCATGTACGAACCCATGAAATTTTTTGGCAGGAAAATTGCTAATTCTAAAACGGGAGAAGTTGGAAAGCTGAAGTTTTGGCGGAATGTTCCCTGTCCAAGTACCGCGTAGAAAATTAACTTCTTGAATTTCGAGGACCAGTATGCCAACTACCATGTTTTCGAGCGATCTCATTACGGCACGAAATACTGCAAAAACGCATGATCGCACGGGCCCGCCCGGTGCGCGTCGCCAGTGACTTTTACTTTTTTACAGTTTGCTTAGTGTCCACCCACGGAACCAGCGATTAAAACTTCTGGCAAAATCTTACATCTCTCCTGCTTCATTCTGTTTTTAGTGTTTTAAATCGATGCTCAGCGACGAACATTTCCTTTTTTGCTAAAATGAGCGGTCTTGCAAATAAAAAAGGTTAAGTTTTGCATTTCCAAACGCACCTGTGAATGCATTCACTTTATTTACAACGAAAACAGTGTAACTCAGTTCACAATATCCATGAGTATGGAAACGATTCAGCAGCGCTGTCTCGCCCGCCAACTTCTCATGGGTTAACAGCAGCGAGGTCGATAGCGTCCCGGATGTGACCATTAAAAATTACTTGCGTAATGCGAACGACTCTCTTGTCCAGTTATGCATTATGAACATCCTTATATCCTTCGTCTTTGAGCCATAAACATTTCCTATCGTGCTGTAAAGGCAACAACAGTCGCAGGGGTCAGTAAGCCCGCTGGCTACACATTGTTGGAGGAGGAGTTTGTTTTCGCTGGGACTCAGCCATTCGCTCCAAATGCTTGCAGAGGGCACGCACGGCTCGCCAGTAACGACTGTCCATGTTGATGATTCTGTGATTTCCGTATTTACAGCATTCTCGGATCAAGACACTGGAGGGGGCGTTACAAGAACAACAGCAGCTTCATCGGAGTGTAGCAGGAATGCGAGAAGCGGAATTAGTGATTGTATGCTGCTCCTAATAACAATCTCTGTGCTGTTCATCTACACGGTTATCCTGATCGGCTTCTTCATGGGCTGGTGCACCTTGATGCCGAACATGTTTCATCCACGCAAGGAAATCCCGTTCTGCTCTGTAAAGTCGCCAAGACGCAGCACCAAATATGGCGATCTCGAATCTTCCATTTCTAGCTCGTCAGTTTTTTCATCTTTCGTGGACAAGCAAAATTTTTGGATTGTACGCAAGTTATTAAAGGGGAGGTCGCAACAGTTGTTCACTGTAGTATTTCGGTCTTCTAAACATAGACCGGTGTACAAAGACTGGCTTGCAGAATGTATTGTAGTTGTCAGTATATGTGTTCTGAGTAACCCAATGGGGATGTTATGTGCTTCCATATTTTTCCATGTTGGATTCAAAAAAGCTGGATTTTAGACTGTCTTTGGAATATGTGCATCGCAGCCTGGAATCACCCGAGAAGCTGGACAGGAGGCATTCAATGAATAACATGGCACCACTTCCTCTCAACGATTATTTGCATCCAAAATATTCGTTGCCACCTATAAAAATTGATATTACCGAGCAACAGGTACATAGTTGTGCAATAATTAATTGATATTTATTTCACTTACGTTATTTGTTCTGGTGGGAAATTGCTACAGACCCATACCGGGGATTCAGAAGAATGAGCCACTGAGGAACTCGTCCAACTGTGGTCACTGTTGGTGTGTGCTGGTACTGGGCTGATACCGAGTGACTGCAGAGAGTGACCATGGAGAAGCCTTTGTTTGTTTGTCAGATCACTTCGGTTTTGATAAAACTTGGAATGATTAAAATTAAAGCTCACAAAAACTTCAGGGAGCAAGGAGAAATTAAAGAGCGTGCCTCAAAACAGAACTGGTCACAAAAGCTTCTGCTCATGTGTTTTTGCAAATAGCGCAAAATGCTACCTTGGCTGGCCATGACTGTAACCGTACGCGTACATTAACGCGTGTATGTGCGAGATTATGCGATTGCGCGTAATCGCGCATGGATGCAGCATTTGAGAACCAGTTTATGGTAGTCCTATGAAGTGATGTTGCCTTCTATCACGGGCATTTTTGTAAGAGCCAGCTATAATAAATAGCAACGCGCACCAGACCAGCCGGTGCGATCATGCGTTTTGTGCAGTTCAGCCCGCCACACGATTGCCTATTAATGATTTTCACTGCTTTTTACTTTTAATCTGTGCAAAAATAGTTGAAACGTTGAAAAATAGTTAAAAATTTCACGCGCCAGCACATGAAAGCTAAATTTGAAACCTTGAAGAGCGAATATCTTCTCGTGATTCCCCAGATAATAATTTTCTCGTCGAAATTTTCACGAGGCCGTGAATTATACCCGAGAGCGCGGAAACGCTAAATTTGAATTTGTAAGGTCGTACGTGGGCAAGGGTCACTACTGTAAAATTCCAGCTTCCTGGGTTTTGTGGTTCCCGAGACCCGCAAAAATTTTCACGGGGGCCGTAGGTGATACCCGAGAGCGCGGGTACGCTGGATTTGAATTTACGAGATCGTTTTTGAGCAGGGGATCATAACCCTAAAATTTCAGCTTCATTGCTTCCGGGGTTCCTGAGATACTGATTTTACCCAAAAAACTTTTACGGGACCGTACGTGTTACCCGCAGGTACGGAGGGGGGGGGG